GAAGGTCAGGACCAAAACAGTTCGGACAGCTGGGACTTCACTCAGAATCCATTCATTGTAACTCAAAGACTGGCATGGGTTTATTATTATCTCTTGTTAAATATTTAGATCTTTCAGAGGACACGTCTACCAGGGCACAGTGGGCTTTCTTCCCCGTTACAGCGCTGTGTGTGCAGTTACAGGACAGGAGCGGGGACCCAAGCAGGCGGTACACACGGGCTGGGTCTGCATCCGCCTCGCTGGTCTCAGTCCGCAGACAGCGCACCCTCCGGACTCCGCTGGCTGAGCTGAGGCCAGGCGCCACGCAGAGGGCGGAGGTCCGGGGCCGGCGAGGGCCAGGCCCGCGCGCCGCCGTGTCCTCCGGGGCGGCTCCGCAGCAAAGGCCCCTCGCCGCGTGGCCGCCTGTCCTGCAAGCGTCCGGGCTGGGGCTGCAGCTGCAGTCTTCCGTGCTAAGACGAGGACCTTTCTCCTGGCAGGTGGGCGGGCAGGGGGGGCGTTGGACAGAATATTTCAGCCTGGGCGGGGCCGCCCCCGTGAGACGGAAGGTTCAGCCTCAGCACAGAGGGGAGGCGGGAGGCCGGGCAGGGTCCTCTCCGCACCCCGAACATCCTCCGCCGCCGTGTGGCGCTGCCTGCACGGTCGCTGCGCCCCCAAAGCCTTCCCGGGTGGAAGCCAGGTGCTGCAGTGTCGGAGGCACCTGAGGTGGAAGAGGCAGAGGGCTCCTCCGGCCCCGGTTGGTTCTGCAGGTTCTGGACCCGGAATGCGAGGCTGGGGGACTTCAGGGACTGCACTGTCTTAGCCTAGTTTCAATTCAAAACAAAACCAAACAGACAAACCGGGCTCCTTTCCAGCTGTTTCGAAAAGTGAACTGCCGCCGCCGCGCAGGTCCTGAGGTTCTAGTGAAAGGAAGTGTCCGTGGATGGCTCTGCACACTCAAGGCTGCCGCCCGCCTTGCACTTGGGGCTAGCAAGCCGCCCTCGGTCTCGGGGAGCAGTGCCCCCGGTTCCTTCTTGCTGCCATGTAGTGACGTGGAAGCAGCTTTGGGAGGGAGGAAGCCCGCCCCAGAGGAGGGGCTGGTGCCGCGGGACCCGCTTGGGCGGGGAGATGGGGCGCAGAGGAGCTGTACCTCCAGCCCGAGCGAGGCAGACACACACGCAGCGTCAGGGGCCCAGAGGGACCGGCAGCCGCTGTCCTGGGAGTGGCCGGCCCAGGGGCCAGCACCTGTGCGCACTGGGACAAATGGCACCGGAATGTGGGGAGAAGGGGCCGAGGGCGTCTGAGGGGCCGTGGCCCACAACAGGCACGGTGCCAGGGTTTGGGAGCCCCTGAGCCTGAGTCTTGCTCGTCCTAGCAAGGGAGGCTGCAGAGAGGGAACAAGCTCCCCCGGGCCGAGCTACAAGAGATCAACTCCAGCCTGGCCTCCAGCTCTCTGCTCCGCCTGCCCCAGGGCCAAAGCCCAGGGTCAGCGAGGGGCGGGGCCTCGCTGCCTCAGTAGCTGCTGTCGCCGAAGAAGTGGCCGGGCGGCGCCCAGTCGCCCTCCTCGTGCGGCGTGCAGAGCGCTCCGTACTCGCTGTTGTAAAACACCTGGCCTCCTTGGGCTCCCTGGTTGGGCCGACGCCGCCTCCCCTGAGCGTCGGGGCGCGCCCTCGTCTCGTCCTCCTCCTGGCCGGGTCCTTTACAGCTACTGAGACAAGAAGGCAGCGTT